AGAATTCGGAGACTAGTATTCTATGTTCTTTAGAATCAAGTTATAACAAGCAAGATCTCAGTCAGTCCTTCAGAAATGTCGAAAAATTGATTACAGAATAAGATAATATTGTTGCACCAGTTGTCACTATAACGACAGACGTACATTTTAGTTATAACTTGCAGATTAGTGTTCAGTGCGTACTAACTCTATGAAGTTGGGCAATACCATTCGGTTATTCAGTCTACGCCTCTTTGGTTGGTAAGCTACATGCAAACTATGCAAATGCAACATAAATGTTTCTAGAATTTTAGCTTGATATCATCAGAAGGTATTTATGTATGATGTTGGAAATCAGTTGGTATCTAACACTAAAATATAGTGCAGTATCACGTCATCTGGCTGAGCAGTTAAATCGAAAACTTGATCTATAGGTTTTGAACATTGTTGAACACTAAAGACCACACAGCTGTATCGGTTACTCACCAGTGATCTATTCGTGTAATTGTTTTTGTTATATACAAAAGAATTACACTGTTGTGACCCATGTAGTGTGGTTTCCTTAAGGCTATCGTTACTTTCAAGCGAAATGATGGTAAAGCGAACACTTTAGATCCTCTGAGAACAAACATTGATTGAATTCGTAATACTACTAAACTCTAAGTTGACTCTGATGTTTAAACTATCTAAGCATCTTCTATATTCAATGTAAACTGTCTGGCGCATTTCACCAAGTGCCTTGAACCCAAGTTTCTTACTGACTGGTAGCTACAAGTGAGTCCTAGGTCCAGCTTTAAGGAAATTCATGCCATGCTTTCATTACAAACTCACGTTGAAATGAAATGTTTTAAAGCCTATATAATTCACTTCCATAAGTATTGGAGTACATAGCTAAGTACACATTTAAATAAATACCAGAGTAACTTCGTCAAAGATGATACTTCATCATGAACATTCCTACAGTTATGAGTTTTCTCCATATTACCTTAAATTAAGCTTTAGATAAATATCGTAAACCTACTGCAGATAATTACAAGTTGTTCTCAAAACACTTGGGAGATAAAAGTAGTTACGACGACGAGATTGATGTTGTTGTTTTTGCTAACTCACTTTCTCCTTATTTTTAAAGTGGTTATTTTGTTTGTTGTTGCATGTATCACAACTGAAAAGAACTATTTCTGTAGATACGACACACCTACATACACAGAAATAACGAAAACACCACAAGCAAGAATGTATATATATATATATATATATATATATATATATATATATATATATGTAACACCACTATATAATGCTTCTGAAATGTTTTTGCTCAACTCTTCATTGATACAAGGGAAACTTACACCCACTTACCCACAATACATATTCATGTAGTCAAAACAATTTCGAAAGGTGAAAGAAGTTTTTCAAGCAATTCAGTGACCATCGCGTATTTAAATGAGTCTTAAACCGATGTATTTCATCGGTTTCTCAGGTTGTATAATCAAATTAGGTTTTTACATATATATATAGTCACGAAATGATTACAGAGTATTGATTCATTCAACTGTCTGCAGAAGTATATCGATAGAAATTACTGTAGAAAAGTAATCTAGAGACCATATTTACTTAGAATTATCAGGATAATCTTGGTATTATTATTTTGGTGGAGGATAAGTAGCAGAATCTAAGACATTTCCTCTTATTTGTCATCAGTCAGCTAGGTGTATCTGAATACCAGTGGTTATTAGTGTTTTAACTGAGGCTTGAACTTAAGTTCCCATTGTTTCAAATGTCAAAGTGTTATCTACTGGGATACTGAGTCTTGACATCTACATTATGTTCAACTAATAGCACCTATTTCTCACACTTCTTACTTTCTTGTTGCTCATTTCAGTGAATATCAGGTGCTTAAAGAAATGTCTGGACATTATTGTCACTTTGATTTTTATGTTCTTCTTTTAATAGAATATAGTTACATCCAAACTATGATTCCAGAAACGACATAGTACGAGCTTAATCATATAGTAAACAACATCAAAATGAAACTGAGGGTAAACACAGACCTCCTCCTGAGTAGTTTACATTCTTGTAGAGACCCATCAATCAAGTCTAACGGAATGAACAACAGAAAATTAGGAAAATAACCATCATAATTATTAGTTTCTAACGTAGTATTTATTACCGACTGAAATCAGTTGGAGAATCATCGAAAACCTAGGAGCACCGGACAGCTGTTAGTATGGAATTCATCAACGGTACGGACCCATGACCCCGCCACGGATCGAACACAGAACCATCAAGTTTTACGGTGAGCTCATAGATGCGTACTGTCAAGTTCCATACTAGAACGAAACGGCTGTACATCGCTCCCAAGATTTCAACGATTCTCCAACTGACGTCATTTCACGATAAATATCATCTTAAAAACGAAATCCCCATTAACCTCAAACTAAATTATTGGTTTCTTATTGGCGATGAATAAAAATCGCTAACAGCAAGCGAAAATATTACCCATGAAAAATGTTTTAATTATGTGAATGAGTTAAAAGAACAGGTGTGTGGCATGCATTCGATTTCTTTCACACTATTTTTGGTTATAATTATTAAGAACGCTTATTTTTGAATTAAGTGTAGAATATTCAAATCAAACAGACAAGAAAGTGATAAAAGTTGCTTCGCTCCTAACAATTATCAAGTGGATGTAGCCATGACCCAGTGAAAATTCTCTCTTGTTTTCAGACATATGATTTCTGTGTAGTTTATTAGTCGAAAACGTCATTACTGATCTATTAGAGTTGAAAAACAGTTAACAACAAATGCAAAATATTCAAATCATTGCTGTTACGACTGTAGTGGGAGAATTTGGTTTTGAGTTCCTTAAACACTGCCATTATATGAACGTGTATTAATGTAAGCATAAACTTCTACAAGTCCCAAGTCAAATACAACATTTGGTTTAGAGGCTACATTAATCACCATGGTAGCTGAGTTTTTTTCAAAATCAAGTGTATTGTCGGGATGGTTAGTGTAAAGTAAAAATTCATAGCAATCTCATCAAAGATGTCATCATGATTGCGATAGGCTATTAGGCGAGTTTAATAGATGCATAACGTTTGGATAAAAAGACTGTTGCACACTAAACTCCATATCTGACTGACATTAACTTGAAATGTTGCCTTATATTTTCTCCCCTACTTCAGTCATCCTGTATAAAGATGAAAACTTGTAAGAAAGCTAATTTTTCATTCTTCTCACTTTAGTGATATTGACTTGTGAAAATAGACAAGTTTACCATAAACCACATGAAAAACTCTAGACCAACCTTTATATTTCAGTATTTGTTGGGTAACAGAACACTAAGAACAAATCTAACATAAAGTTGTGTGTTGTTTCACTTGACAAGGATGTTCTAACTCAAGAATGATTATATAACTTACTCATGATATGTTCACTAGTCATATACACTATTAATGGAAAATACACGCTAGACATAAATTATCATCTGGACTTTGCCAGTAATATTTATTTCTTCTTGTTACCTGTTTTCATAAGAGTTAAATCCTACGCTTTAACTAAGTAGTTCTACCCTAATATATCTTGTAATCACTGGTACAAATATGTAAACGTCTCGTTGATTAACATTCTCCACTTGTTTGTGTTTTTGCCTAGAATGAAGACAGTGTTATCACTAACAACATGAATCAGATATTAGCTATATTACTGATTGATGAAAATGATAGTTATAATGTTTATACACTGATCAACTTTCTCTGTGTACACTTATGTGTACCCATATATGATTTATGCTTTCATGAGTATTAAAACCTGTTTGATCTGTAGAGTATTCTTCTTCATAACTAACACGTGTATAGAATATAAAATATATCATGTTACGCACACCATCTATGTGACCGTTTGGTTTATATCTAATAGCATGTTAAATATGATCTACTGCTTAAATTTCCTATTCATTCAGATTGAAGTGGACGGGATACATTTAATGTTTAACGATAAGATAAGATGGTCACTGAAAGTAATGCACCTTGAAATGTTATGCTTAACTTCATTTTTTGTTTACATGTTTCGAATACATAATAACAAGTGATTGCATCATTAGTTCGTTAGGCGTAATCTAGAACGAAATGACTCGTGTTTTTCACAATTATATGATAAACAAAAACATGTTACTCACATAGCAGGCAGGAAGAAATTAGGGTAACGAAAGTAAACCTTAGATCTGGTCACTAGTCAGATCAGGTGGCTATTTCCGCATAACACTGGGTAGGGAATTCAGAAGTCGCTGGCTCGAATCTCACCACAACTTAGATTTTCTTATAACCTCCGTAATCATCCTCCTCAACTGGGATCAGACTTCTAAGTTATAGCAGTTTCACATAGTTTGATCAATAAAATCTAAAAAGTTTTGAAGTAGCATCTATCAAAAGAATAAATATTTACTATCTCATTTAGGACACCATGATGATGTTAAAAGTTAATAAATTACATTCTTTTCAGCTATGCAAAAGATAACTGTATTATCACTGTTATATTAATGGGATATATGAAAAGGTGAGCAACGGAGTATTTGTACTAAAATATTCAATAAAAATACATATCGTCTCCGATAAAGAAGGAGGAAACCTTGTCCTTACCTCACGGTAGATTACTTCAGAATACCAAAGTCAAAAAAGGTATACAACAGGGAGAAAAAGAGAGGAACCAGTTTCAATGGTTATTCTAGTAGTATGTATTGTAGTGTTTTAAGCATCCTTTGAAATGAGTTTGATAGTTGAACAATGCCATTTTTAAGTTGATATGAAGTAGCGGAGAGTCAGCTATCAACTGAAGAAGAGAAATAGTAAAGCACAGAAATCTTGGAACGTAAATATATAAAGTCAGTCGTTCTTTGAACAACATTTTGTGCGACTTTTGGATAGTATATTTTGCCAAATGAATTGTCTTATATTGATAAACGCACTTGTAATTCAGTCCCATTCTGTTCCACAAACTTATGTCATTTTTCTGTTATATAGTTTTAGATCTTGTTCTTGTGAACTACAACACAATGAAGAGAATTTACATGATGAGTCTGACTTTCAGAATCATCAACAAATCACTGATGTAAATGGTTTCTCCGTATATACATCAGATTATCAGTCGATTTGTGAAACGCAATTAGGGGAAGTGGGGGGAAAAAATTCAGGAGAGATAACAACAGATCATGTGAATCAATTATCAAACGAAATGAAATTCTGCAATTATTCAGGATATTGCATATCTGGAAGAAATCAGAATTCAAATACATTTCAGGAAGGTAAGTTAGAAATTTATATATTCTCAAATTCGTGAAACTGAAAACTTAAAGTGGATGATGCATAAGTTGATGTTTTAGGGATTTTTGGTAGCCGATTAGATAGTTTTCATCTTAAGGCAAAAGTTATACTGTATAAGAATATTTTCGTTTCAGTTGTGAAATTATTCAGCATTAGAATGCAAGTATGCGTGTAGGTATCTTGGAACAGTGAATGGGATATATATAGATATACATAATGAACGACTCACTTTTCTTAATAGGCTATTTCAGTATTACATGCACATGTTATTCAACAATTACTGCATATTTTATACCTCACAAACAATAAAATTCTTTTATCTTACTTAAAGATACCGTACTCCTGATACTTAAAGAAAAATGCACTGTGTAAGCAGGATCTTTTAAACGCTTTGAAACACATTTATTACTAACATTATTAAAAATGAAACACAGTTTCAGTAAATTTATCAAAGGTTGTATGATTTTTAAATAAAACTGCATTCAAGTAATCAATGTCAACATTTTGTTAGGCTGGATGATGAACAATCTAAACACTTGAGTCAATCAGCCGATCTTTTGAAAATGACATTTTTCATAAACTAAACGTGAAGCATTTGTATTGTATTCTAGTTGCAAGTAGTAAATAAGTGGACTATCTTATTCTCTAACCCCGTAAAAGTATAAGTAGTTGATGCTGCTGAAATTTAAAAAAACCTTAAATTTTAATAAAAATGGTATCGTCCGTTTAATAATCATGTACAGTTTCAGTGACTATCATACATACTATCAGACTGAGGTTAAGGAAGTCCCCGTTATCATTTATTATTTACCATTCTATGATTCGTAAAATCTGTTTCTAGCACTTCCTGATTTTCTAACCGATATTAACTTTCATCCCTTAGGTCAGAGTGAAATTCACGTACTGTCAGGTTTTAATTCATTTATCCAACAAAATGAAACGAAGAAATGTTCTATAGTGTGCAGCTGGGGCTAGCACGTTTTGAGTGATTATTTCATGCTAAATAGGAATGATAACTAGCAGTGAAACTCAAGACGTCACATTTTGGACTTGTTACATGGACCTACCTGTCTCTGAGTGAGTGGTGTTCTTACTGAGACTGGAACCCTGAATCCATAGCTTTGAACGCCAAAGCGTTATCCATTAAGCCACTGGTGCACGAGAGTCACCTTTTGTGCAACAGGTACCAGTTATTTGCTGATCCCTGTTACCTCCCATCGCTATGCTAGGTCGGGCAAATCGACTAAGCACAGCATGGGGATGATATATTTCTACAACCTGTGTACAGAATAGTTACTTGGTAGGAACAAAAACAAGATGGAAAGGTTTCAATTTTTGTTTTCTCAAGATACTTTACTATGCTTTGAGACTTCTACCATAATTTGAAAGGTAGTAGGAACGCAAACTATATAAATTGTAATAATGTACTGAATAATAAACAAAAACATATTACTGCTAATATCACTTTCAGCAAATATGCTTAACATTATTTTATATTTATCAGTATATACTGACTCATTCCTTCTTTTGAAAATACAGATATGACAAGTTCGAGTTGGTTTGATTTCCAACCCTTTTCGTCGCATAGTTCTGCTATGAGCCATTCACATAGGACAACATTTTGTAAACGGACACCAGATGAATCTGTAATAATGCCAAGAAATGAAATATTGTCGAAAACTTACAATGACCAGTGCTTAGTTGATTACGAAATTCAGCCATTACCAGTTTCTACTGAAGCAAACTCAGGATCACCATTTATCCCCTCCACATTATCATCGTCAAAGAGACACTCTGATATTAAAGTGTGTAAGCAAAAGCTATCAAAATCATTTTCAAAAAAATTGTCTGATGATAGTTTAACAGAGAATTCACTGTTGGGAACTGAACTAAAATTAACGGGTACTACTAGTAACCTTCATGGCAATAACAATAATGGAGCTGTAATGGCGGCGGCATCTGCAGCTTTAGCAAATCTTCATCACAGAGGTTCATTACAGCTGTGGCAGTTTTTAATCGCTTTGTTAGATGACAAAGAAAGTCAACATTTAATATGTTGGACAGGAAGGACGCTGGAATTTAAACTGAATGATCCTGAAGAGGTAAGGTACTGGTAACGGCTTTTGTTAAAAGTATTTTATTTAGTCCGCTTTCTTCTGGAGAATTTCACTATAGATTTCTACAATATAGTACGATACAGAATCAGTTTACTTGTAATAGGCCTTTAGTAGAATGTACATTTTTTTCTAGCGCGATTCTTCTTGCTGATACTCAACTTGTTCATACTTTCCTCCCTTTAGAAACCAAAAGAGAATTTCTAAAATAGAAAGCATATGTCATGCTTATACAGTGTATTTTAACGTCTGCATTACATTAATGAGAGATCTAACAGATAACACAGTTTTCAGGTTTGGAAAACCTTCATCTTTCTCCTAAGATCACCAAAGTAAATACCATGAGCGTTTGAGAAATATGTTTAATTCTATTTAAATTATTGTCTAAATCGAGCAGAAGCGTTTGTCATGTTCTTAATACAAAGCAGCAGTGACTTAAACACTGTTTCCTTTGCAAACAAATGGCTACTATATTGGTGTAATGGTGTGATTTGGTTGACCTGTATTGAGTAGAATAATTATTGATATAAAAAGCATTTTGCCAAAGGAGCCCTTTGCTTTCCCTTTTTCCTAATGTTATTAGATATCGAGAGTTGCATTTTACTCTCAGAGGTGAACATCATATTCAGAACAGCTGGTAAATTTGTAAACTTACTTGGTCAGCTTCACTAAATACGCATAAAGCATGAGAAGAGGATCAGACAGTTATAAGACAGTATGGTGTTGATTTTATCTCTTGGTTACAGTGATGATAGTAGGAGGCTGATTTCAGTGAAAATATAACTTTTTAACTAAATACAGCTCCATGTATGAGAAAGTAAGCCTTTAATTCAAGGTAAGTGTTCACAAAGTTCACAATGAGAAGGAAATAAGTGGCTCTTATCTGGTTGTTAGATTTCATTATGGTTTCTGTTGGGAACTTATATCATCATACCATAAATTTTGATCTGCTGGACACCAAATATGTTGTTGAAACAGTAAAGAGAGTTTCTGCTTGATATTTACCACAGGTAAACATGGAAGGTTAAAAGTCACGCTGGTCAGTTAAAGTGCTCTCCAGACATAGTGAAGTGAGCTGAATACATCCCGGTACTTCGCTGATGCGGTCCGTGGCACACGGCTGAATCACCAACATGGCGTTTAGATTACATTCATCTGGCTAGTACGCACTATTGACTGGTTAAAGTGGTTTCTAACTAATTATTTTCATCAACAGTATACGTTGTAAAGTAAATAATGTCTACCGCCAGACAGTGGGTGGTCGTATTCAGAGGAAGTTATTAAAAAGTCAGACTTCAGTACTCGAATCAGTGGTTGTAAATCCTTTCAGTTGCATAGTTTTCAACTGCTCAATTCTTCGGTTGTTATTTTCAAGCCTGTCTAAATAAAAGATCAACTTATTTAGGATCTTTGGGTTAGATGAGGTAAATTCATTGGACACCCAATCAACATTGTGTCTGACCTAATTTGTTTATTTTGACCTATAAATTATGGTTACTTTCTTTGCTTCGTTTTCTTAAGTTATAGATTTACAGTTTTCTAAACATACAAGTTCTCTTCTTTAATGCGTAGTAAAGTTGCTGCTTTCTATAAGTAGACATCCACGTAATAATAATAAATGAAATTGATGCATGTACTGCATGTGATTATGAAACAACCAATATTAAATTATCAGAATGATGCTTTTCAGAAGCAATACAAAGTCAACAGTTAACCAAGATTAATTTTCACACAAAAAGGTAACCTTTATATTGTTATGAGTAGTGGAATCATTCAATCTTATCAACCTACATTTTAAAAACAAGGATAGTACTTAGTGTCGAAAACTTATGTATTCAAAATTCAGCTTACGAAATGTGTTACTGATAATCATGAGTAGTTGTAGACGTGTCACATCGATCACCAGTGCTCACTAGTTGGGTCAGAGTGACCTAAACACCGGGAAACCATTTCATTTGCTCGAGACTAAGCTTATCGGCAGTGTATCCAGATCGTTTCAGCTCAGACAATCGAAGTTTTCGAACTTTTCGGATTCGTTCTAGCTACTTTAATGGACAAGTCATACCCAGAATCAAATTAGGTAATTGGGGTTTTGAATATATCATATCATATGTTCTGAATATTTTAGCTCCAATTTAAAACCACGGTCAATTTTCTCACCGTGAACTGCTCAGTGTGCAAATACATGATTTGCAGATTCAGTAAATTAACCGCATATCTTCAGATTTAAAGATAAGCAGAAGCATTACGAATAGACTTGTATTAATTAGTATGGTTAGAAGCCTATAGGGATTCTATTCTTAAATTTGTGTTCATCTATAACTGACACCAATAAGGAGAATCATTAAAAACCTGGAAGCATAGGACAGCTGTTTCATCCCGGTACGGTATTACTCAGCAGTACGTACGCACGACCCCGCCTCTCCAGCGGTCGAACTCAGGACTTTCAGGTTTCAAGGTGAATGTGTTAGCCATCCAGTCACTTGGTTGGAGCTCAGTGCTCCACAGTTTCCTGTTGCTTCGCAATGTAGTGCGACTATATACCAAGTACCGCTGAGGAGTCTCACACTAGAACGAAACCGCTGTCCACTGCTCCTAGATTTGCATTGGTTCTCCAACTGATGTCAGTTCGTTATAAATACAACCGTATATTAATTAAGTTCCTACCTAAGACCAGGAACCTTTACCACACTAAAAATGCAGATTGAGGAAATTTACAATTACTATAATGAATAATAAATATATTTGATGTGTATTCATAATGAATCATCATCCACTACTACTAGTACCAACTGGTATTATACACACAAGGAATTTTCCATTTTACAAACTGACATGAAATAGTTGAAAAAAAGAGAAAACTTTCTACCAGTAGATTTCATGCTTAAACATGTTGAAAAATAAATAACAGTAGTGAACTTTGTTTGTTTTTTAACTTCAGTTTTACTTAATTTCCTCATTTTAGAAATAAAAATTAAATTTTGTATACCCTGGATGATAATGAAAATAGCAGTAATGTGCACACATTTGTGCTTGACATACATACGCAATTGTCATTCTGTAAAGCTATACCGACTGACCCATTGTAATTTTAGTCTTCCCATTTCTTTTCAGTGTGAACTTTCTCACAGTTGAATAATGACAAATACACAAAGAATGAACAGGGTTTTGTTTAATAGTTGAAGATATTTGGCACAATCCCTTTTATTTGACTTCAAGTGATTGCTTAAACGGATAAGAAAGGCGCACCTACTTGCTTACTTAAGAGATCTCATGTTTTTCTGATATTGGAAATTGGAAATTCCTACGAGTTAGTCGGTAGATAGATGCGTAGTTTACTACACTCCTGCGTGGTTCGATCACACTAAAGTGTTGTCTTCTAATCATAAATATTTGCTTAAGTGGTTTTTGACGAACTGAATCGCTTGAAGAAAGCCTTTATAATGAACTGACATCAAGTACAGAAGGCAGTGAACAAAATTTACTCCCAGGTTTCTAATTTACTTTCAACTTATTTTTTTAAAGGAAGGCATCATCGAGTGACCAGAGTCCATTTCATTGATAAACTCACAGCTTTATCAACTGGATAACCATAAGTGATGCGTACGCAAAAAGAAGTAAAATACTTAAAATGGTATATTGAAAAACTGTTAACATAAAGGTAGGGCAGAAAAAAATTCTCTGTACAGCATATTAAAAAGTGGCTTATATGTATACAGTCAAGTCATTCAAAATCTTCTGAGATAAAATACTTATCAGCTGAACAAGGATGCTGACAAGTGGGCTACTGAAATTATCCTCAGGATTTTGGAGGGGATGTATTTATGAGTTTCAAAAAAAGGAATAAATAAAGCCTATGAATTCAAACAGTTACAATAAACAACAATGGATAGAGACTCAAAATACTCAGTTCGATAGCGAAATACGGTTAGGTACATAATGCTGAAGATGCTGAGAAGAAAGGAAAGGTGTTTTTTGTATTTTTTTTGCCTTTTAGTGGCATTTTTACTCATTGTAACCTATAATAAAAATACAAAGCCAAACAAAATTTGTAATCCATTGGACATGTTACCCCAATGGTGTTTTCTCAGTGTACTGTAAACGTTAAAACACTAATTCAGATGTAATGGAAAATTGATAATAAATTCACATTTTTATAATAGGTTGCTCGTTTATGGGGTATCCAAAAGAATCGTCCAGCCATGAACTATGATAAATTGAGCCGATCATTACGATACTACTATGAAAAAGGTATAATGCAGAAAGTATCTGGTGAAAGATATGTGTATCGGTTTGTTTATGAACCAGAATTGTTATTTTCCCTTGCATTTCCCGGTGAAGACCAATCAAGTCAACTCCCTGTCAACTCAATGACTACAATAACAAAAACGAATATAGACAGTAAATTGTGCCACCAAATTAAACAGTCAACAGAAAATGCCTTGAATATGCCACATAAAATGAATCCATTAGGTTGCTGTCGTCCTGCTTCGAATAACTTCGATAAACGGTTAAAAGATATCAACACTGAATACTCACCCATACATCAAGTGAAATTTGCTATGAAGCGTAGGCATACAGATTCATTAGAAGAGAAAGTTAAATATTTTGAAGCGGCTCGCGCTACTACTAGTGACCGTATCAGTAGTAGTAACGGAAATCATTTAGATTTATCTCACTTTTATGAACATGAAAACACAGCATCACAAGGAAAATCACATAAGAATATAAATATTGAAAGTAGAATTACATCAAATCAAGGGTATACTAGCAACAATGAAAATTTCTTAGCCATAAATGCATGCATAAATCAAAACAGTCACATTGGGAAAGAAAAGCATAATAACGAATATCTTAGAACAGGTGATATACTGGAAACAAACCTCATGACTTGTAACAATGATTCTCTAACATATATTGATTGGTTTGATAATCTTACATCGCAACAAGAACAACAACCTGTGCAAGAGACTACAGACTTTCTAAATTATTATTATATGAATAATCCGTGCAACTATTCAAGTTATCAATATAATTCAGAAAACTCTATGCTGCAGACATCAGTTGTATGTGGTAAAAACGACGTTTCGTTAAACGACCAAAATCATTATTTATCTGAAATACTAAATGAAACATATAATAAGGAGCAAGAAAGATTATCATCGTCATCATCTCCACCATCTTCATCATCCTTTACTTTATCACAGAATGATCGCAGTGTACTGTCTACCCCTCCACCTATTACAGCTAATTTACAAAATATCTACGAAGTTAATTATGAACTGTTAGTAAATAATGAAAAGTTATCAAATCGTTTATTTTAAATATTGCGTTTTGCACTCAAACAGAACTATTTATTTTGTTACAATCATCGGTACATGAATAGTTATAATGATAAATTTCACATCGGTTTCAGTTTCAAGAAGTATGAACTCATTTATGCAATCGGTCAATCTGGGCTATTTTTCAATTTACTTCATTTAACGTTTATAGCAATATTTCTATGAGCAGCATAGTATTCAGCGCTGTGAATGTTCCTATTTAGATGAATATCATGTTCATTTATAACATCTTATTTCATCGGTTTCTTTCCCAGTGTTTCCCTGAGAAGCATTCATTATCTGTGAATGACCACAGAAACAGACAAACCAAACTGTGATGACTAAGTATTACTTCATTTAGCATACATAATCTGATTCACAAGAAGACCCATTATAAAAAAGTGTATATTGTATGAGAGGTTTGTGAATTTGAGCATTTACTGAGTGCTGGCTTGTCAGTGAATTATTTTCCAAAAACAATTTATAATTTATAAATAAATATCTTCAGTCAGTAGATTTTTTCATTTTTTTATTAATATCAACCAGTAAAACCAACTATCAATCAGCAATCAAGATAAGTTCTCTTATTCAAACAACAGATAAGGAGCATTTGTATCTTGACGTGCTATATTTTAAAAAAGATATAGAGAGCTGGTCTCAAGTAATCTCAGTTGCAGATTACGGTTGTTGGCAGAATTAAGATTTCGCGTGCCTGACGCTGTTAGGAAATCTAGCACACATCTCAAACTAAGACAGGTTTCTCCGGTATTGCTTTCAGGAATTCTACCACTGAACTGTCAGGATTAGATTAAAGGTTTCTTTAAACCTTCAAAAGATCACTGGTTCCCTCTTGACTACAAGAAACGAGAAATAAATTGAGGATAATCTGTCCAAAGACTTAAAACGCTTGGATTGGTTAACTTCTGGTTTTGAAACACGAGTTTACGATATAGCTTTAATGTAATACTTTTTACAGTTTCAGGCTTATGTTTGAGAATTAGACGTCAAAAAAGAGGGCCTTGAAAAGTTGGTATGGCTTAGCTGAAACATAAAAAGTTCTTCTAAGTGCCACAACACCTTCATCATGTCCTAATAAAAGCATGCTTTATTCATTCAAAGAAAAAGATAGGCAGTGGCATAATATCCAGGGTGACCAGGTAGAAAAACAAAGAACTGCTTTAGGGCTTCGTTTTATCACATTCATTTTATATAAGAATTTCAAATTTAATTTCGACCTACATATTATATTGATATGACTAATAACAGTAGCTGTCAACAATGATTGTAACTATCGCATCCCACTAAGTAGTCTGTATTTCGGTGGAACATAGCATTTTTATTTACTAGCATCTACCGAGGCAGGTACCAAACATCTTTTAGTCATGACGAACTTCTTGAAATGGGCTATTTAAAAGAAACCTCTGTGTTAGGCTAGAAATTCAATGGTTTCCTAACAGAATGTCTTTTTGTGAGCCTGAAAAGAATAACAACTTAGAATTTAGCTAATAATTAAGACTATTTCGCAAACGTTACTCGTTGAAAGTGCATTTAAATCCCCTTTGTTTCTGGTCTTTAAACATTTGAAGCTAAACAGTTACAAAGAAACTTTAGGTGTCTATTGGTTTCTTCTGGTTGTAAGTTTAGAGCTTACGGTTAACAAGACATTTTTTGATTCAGAAATCTTTAGTAGAGGTGTTTCACTTTTCGAGTTACGGTGTGGACTATGTGATTCGCCAAGTAACTTTCAATTTTAGTGAGCCTTAGATAGTCGATATTTTTACTCTCGACTCTCCTACTATCGGTTCAATAGTCGACACGCATGACGTGATGAAATACAAGCACTAGACTGGGTATATATAAGCAAAGCATCCCATTAATTTTTAATATCTGTTGTATTTTAATCAACTAATACTAGATGTTACCACTAGCTTTATTTTCAGTCCAAAAACTTTCAAGTTTCCTGAATAATTATATAACACAAAGAAAGATAAAGAGTATTAGTCATGGTTAAAAAGAAGAGGATACTTTACCCATTGTATAATTTGTTTTGTAATACATGCCTCATGACATATATGTACACCAAGCCTTATTATCTCTTCATTTTGATCCCATAAGTTGTCAGACGTCAAGAATGAAATATTAACACAGTTATAATGCCTAGTAAGGGTGGTAATAGAACTATACTTGTAATGTATGGTCAAACTAGCAGTAATGTTCCGTATTCATGAAAACGAAAGAGATGGGTTAATCATTTCGCTCTAAATGATAATCCTCTCCGAGTTAAACCTTGCTTTATTGAGAACAAATTCAGTGTTTCAGTTTAGTCAAACTATTGATAGCAAATAATTACTATTATTATTTCTTTATGGAAAGGATAAACTAGAGATAATTTACATAGTTATGAACATATTTCTCTATTTATCTATAATTCTCATTAAAATGTAGACCATAATTATGCTCAATTATCTTGTGAATAAAATTAGCTCTCTGTCATATATATATATATATATATATATATATATATATATATATATATATATATATATATATATATATATATATATATATATATATATATATATATATATATACTCAACTCACCCTCACAACAACCCAAATGAATGGAGAAAATGAATAATCAGATTTTCAAGCAAAAGTTTGCATATAGGGTATTATTGCTAATTCTGCCAATACTGCCATCATTATCACTCTTACTCCTAATTCTGTAAATATTCAGGCGGCTATAATATCATATTGTTTATTGGTCTATAAAGTCGATTGAAGCAAGACATAGTGATAAGTGTTTCAATGAATTTGTATTACTATTATCAACCAACTAACTATAAATATCAATAAATGTGTTGGTCAGTGTAGAAAAATGCATGATAAACATGTTTAAACATAGCACAGACATAAATTAGGAGAGAGGTAATTACTCTCATGAATAACGGTAGCAGTGATAGTAGTGTCAACAATAATAGTGATAATAATAATATGAATAGTATTACTATTTTGATTGCGATAAGGGGGTGAAAAAGAAAATCACTTTTTCAATAACTAAAATAAGCTTACTTATCTGCGGTGAATGAAACTGATACATCAGATTTTCTGTCAGTAAATTAATAGAACTATCGAGAAATTTTAAAACCTTTAATTGAGATTATCATAGATGTGATGTGAACACATGTTCATTAAATTATCAGCATTATTTTTCTTTCTAATAATTATATTTCTGTGATAAAGATTCTTTGTAGATTATGAAGGGAATAAAGACGGTAGATAGTATGAACTTAGTTTTCATGTTGTATATATATTTTTTTTATTTGAGCACACGCATATGCACACATACAAGTACAATTATTTACCTACATTACCTTTCGCATTATTCTGCTGACGGCGGAATTCGTTGTATTGAAAGGGGACAAAAAAAAATAGTGGAACGCACTATTAGTGTTGTTATTTTCTTACACTTTGACAGGTGTGAACTAGCAGAATCACTTGCTATTCATCATTTTATTGTTGATCTCATTTCGTTTTGGAAAAATTTCCATGAAAAATTGTCATTATTTTGTATAGTAATTTTAGTTCTATTTTACACAGAAAGTAAACAGATGCATTATGTTGCAAAATTAATAGAATCAACCTAATTTCACTGGGAATAACAAATAAACACAGAATTATGTATCCTGTACATAATTAAGGAGCAGATAAAGATGAAGCACGCAATCAGTGAAACGATAGCATTTTATACCAGGTAGGTTGATAGTGCGTTCGCCGTCTGCAATGACCTTAGTGACATACCTCATGTACTAAATCCTCTCGACTATGTTCACCCTCAAATGAAAATTTATAATGGAGTATAAGCATAATAATGTTTTACTTCCCAGGTCTTGGTATTGAAAGTAACCTAGGTTAGAATATTGAAAGGGACATTCGTAGAAAGTGGAGGACTTCACGTGAACTTCAAAAGCTTCTGTTCTCTGAGCTCCATGGTAATTACCTTATAATAAAATGCGTACAGACTTCTGTTATATCATTTTGTCTTGCACATTTTTTTCTGTTTCAAACCTTATATTTCAACTCTATTCACCTTACTTTTACTCTTATTTCTAAGTTACGCAGTCCATAATAACTATTTTCCATCCACCTTTCATCCATCTCCTTCAAGAATAATCTTACTAACAGTCACTCTTCATCTTACATACTTAATAATCTCGTCTACTTTAATCATTCACATTGTTCCTGTTACTGGTTGGTCCTGTATATAACTTCTTGTCAACTTGATAAAAGTATTCTCACTTCTTTTATTGTGTCTATTTTGATATTATTCAGGTTATAAGCAGTTGAGAAGAATCCTTAAAGTACTAAAAATGAGCTCGTATATTTCTGCTGCACGTGTTGTTTACGCGCTGTTCAAGTTTATAAATGGGGAAAATTGTATGAAACTTTTAAAAAGTTCTAGACTCACTGGAATTCATTCACTAACCAAAGGAAAAGAAACCAGTTTGTTCATTAATACATTCTACATCACGACACACATTCATTTTGCACATCCATAGGTCATATGCAGGCATATTGTCATTGCACAAGATATTAAGTAGATGCATGTGCGTGGTGTAGATTATTGCTTATAACTGAATCAAAGTTGAAGGATTGGCCACAGAGACTCGAATGAGCACACACGACAATTTTGAGCAATCATCGATCGATACCATGATTGGCTTGCTGTGAATATTGCCTGGTTTGATTGGTGGAGACGGAGAAAACGATGAATATGAGATTCACACTAACCTGACACCATTAAAATCAGTCCTTCGAAAGGAATCATCGTCGTTTAAAACTGTATACAAAAAGCTCTACAATACAGCACATTGCTAAATCCTAGGGATAATAATTATCCCTAAAACTGAATTCATTCAAGCTCTTCATTCAATACATATTTCGTCATAATCATCACCCTCATAAAGCAGAGATAAAATTTGTAGCGCAGTAAACTGAGAAATAGTAACATTTCTTTTTACGCAGATTTAAGCTACATCATTTCAAAGTTAAGATGGAATATGACCTTTCTTATGATTACAGCTACATCGTTGAGGTGTATACTAAGGAGTTAAGGCTTTATTCTCAAACGTTTGAGATTATTACCAGCTACATACACTAATAGTCATTTTCCTCCATCGCTTAACAGTGAAATGTTTATATATCTTAGTGAACAACTACCAGTTTCAGTATATGTTTACAGAAGAAAAAGTAATTTGAGATAAACATTTTAATGTCACATGTAACAATTAGTGTCTCACCTTCTATACAAAAAGGACTTTTATTCTGTTTACATTATAAGAAAAAAGTACTCCGGGAAGAGAAGGTTGTGTGTTATTCAAAATGTTTCGTTGTAAAAATGTTAGATAACTGTTTAATTGAAATCAGAAATACATCTTTCTGCGAATCAAAGAGACATAAAAACCTACACGTAAAAGCACCAAGATAACATCACAACAAATAAGTAAAGAGATGGTGACGAAGAAAGAGGTAAGCACGCCATACTTACTAAACATCGACCAGGTAGAATAGCTTGTTGTATAACAACACCTCGTTTTAATTTAGAACCTTCAAATATGTACATGGGATTCTCAACAATAGACTTAGTTTCATTAATATCTAACCAAGAATAGTGATAATGTATAGTTCGTGATTTAGGACTGAACATGTTTGTGGAAAATGTAGATAAAACGGAGTAGGAATGAGAAAAATCCGATCTGTTGGGTGCTATATTTTCTGATGACTTTGAATAGATTTGTGGGCACTCCGATAGCTGAAATATAAGTCAAAAAAACATTGTTACTAAGAGGTATTAGAAATTTTTATCTTCATCTTTGGTTCGAAACAAAATAACGGAAGTTTATCATGACCTTGGGTGTCATCATTACACAGGCATAATAAACTCTTGCGCGATAAACACACTTGAGAAGAGAAAAACTTGGAAATGACTTTACTACAAGTACGTTTAATGAAGAACAATGAAGTGAGCAATTTTAATCTATCATCTTGAACAAGTAATTTTAGGTTCAAAATTCACTATCAAATAAAGAATCACTAATTGATGCATTCAGATTGCAATGTTATAAGTTATACAAAACTTTTCAAGAATCAAACGAAATCCAGGTTAGTTCCAGTAAGTATCTCCAGTCTCACTGGTTAAACATGTATGCACCGTTAGGTAGTATGTTGTATCTTGATGAACTAGTTACCAAAAAAAGTACTACACTAACTGCGGAAATGTCCATAATTTCAGACAAGGAAGCATATCTAATCTGCTTAGTGACTAGCAGTGGAATACAGGACCCACATCTCGGTGGTATTGGGGACTACTAAGTGAATGATGGCATTCCTACTGCGACTCGAAGCCAATAATCGCAGCTTCAAACGCCACGGTGCTACATACTAGGTTACTGGGACACGACAGCCAGCATGTCTAAAATTATTTAGCAACAAAATTCATTAAAGCCACTACGCTCTCTCTCTGTATATATATATATATATATATATATATATATATATATATATATATATATATATATATATATATATACATTGGCGTATGTTACTGATGATGTGAAGGTTCCATTTCTTTTTCCACTCCACATCTTCGATTATATTTTACATGAATTATTATAGATATGTAGAAAATCAAGTGCATTCATTGAAACACACCACAGGTAAATTTCATTCTGCCTTATCTTGATATAAACAGAGGGTTTTCAAAAATATACCAAAATACTGTAAATCCATATTATTATTATTAGTCACTTCGGTTCCTAACGGAACATAGGGCTTCAGTAGCACGTCTCCATTCCACTCTGTTCTCTGCAAAACTTGCGAACCTCGCTTCACAACAGCCCACAACCTCTCAATTCTTCCTCACATTACCTCCTCCATGTCACCCCCCTTCCGGACACCAAACTCGTTGTTTCCCATCTGGGTTCCACTCGAGGGCCTGGTCTGGTACGTGATGTCCCCAGTCAGTGTGTGCCCAATCCATCTCTACTTCCTTCCAGTGCATATTTGTTGGGTGATAGGTTCTTGGTTGGTTCGTCACCAGCCAGAGTTCCTTGTTGCTTATTCTCATTATTCTGGCCATCTGATCTTCAGTAGCGAGCCAGCGTAGGCAGTTGTTGATGAATGTCTGTAGTTTATTGGAAATCCCTTTCGTAACACGCCAAGTCTCTGAACCATACACAAGCACTGACTTGACTGTCGTTGGTGTTGAAAATCCGGATCTTATTCCACATGCTGAGTACAGAGGATCTCCACACTGGTTTCAGGCTAATGAACGCCTGTCTTGCTTTTCCGATTCTGACTTTGACATCCTCGTCTGTCCCGCCACCTGTAGTTGAAACAGTGCTGCCTGCCTAGATAGGTGAAAGAGGCTACTTCTTTAAACTTTCCCCCGTTGATGGTGATCAGAGTTTGTTGTTGTTGTTGTTGGTTGGGTATCTTCATCACCTCTGTCTTCTCTATGTTCACTTGAAGTCCCGTCTTCGCTGCCTCTTCTGACAACTTGTTAGTTTTCGCCTGTAGATCTTCAAGTTTGTGTGACATCAGACATAAGTCATCACTGGCGAAATCCAGATCTTATTCTGGGATCTTTTCCGCAGTCCAGCCAGTGTATCCCCCTCTTCTCGCTCCCCACTGTTTGCTACATGATCCAGTCGACCAGTATCAGGAATATCATGGGGATAGTAGGCAGCCTTGTTTCACTCCTGTCTTCACTTCAAAAGCATCACTGAGCTTCCCATTGTGAATTACTTGGCTGGCATGTGGCGTCTTCATATAGTTGTTGAATGAGGTTAATAAAGGTTTGCGATATTCCGTAGTGTTGGAACAGTTGCCAAATTACTTCCCAGTTAACGTTGTCAAAAGCCTTCTCAAAGTCGATGAAGTTGAGGTGTAGAGTTGACTGCCATTCTATACTCTGTTCTATGATGATTCAAAGCGTTGCAATTTGGTCGGCACATGATTTGTATTTCCTGAATACAGCAGCCTGATTTGGTCGTAATTTTGAATCCAGTGCATCCTTTAGTCTCTCCAGGATGATGCAGTATAATATTTTGCTTGCCTTGGGTGGACAGGAGAGTGACTCTGCACCAGCTTTTGCAAACACTGAGGTCTCCCTTCTTCGGGAGTTTGACAAGGTAGCCCTTTTTCCAATCAATAGGCAGGTACCTTTCCTTCCTTCCACACGTTCTGCAATAGTGGTGTGGTGTGAGCATGTCCGCTGTTGTCTCTGCCTCTGCTCTCAGTACTTCTGGCGGGATTCCATCTTGTCCTGCTGCTTTCCTGCATTTCAGCAGCTTTATGGCATTCAGGGCTTCGACTTTTGTTGGAGGATTCATGTTCACTTGTAGTCCTGTGGCTAGGCTGCAGGTGGTATTTCTGGACGAAGTGCAGGTGATGGTGGTGGTCGATTCAAGAGCTTCTTGAAGTGGTCAGCCCATCGTTTCCATTGTTTCTCTTCTTTCGTAATTAGATTTCCGTCATCACCTTTTATTGGTTTCACCTGCGTTGATCTCTTCCCTACCAGATAGTAACCTGGTTATTTGATGTAGTGTTGTCAGGTCTCTGTCATTCCTACCTGCAGCCTGTTCTGCTTCACTTGCCAGTGTGTCGTAGAAGTGTCTTTTGTCTTTGCATGCACTCTTCTTCACTTCTTTGTCCAGTGTTTTGTACATTGTACTCAGTTTCTCTTGTCGTTGAGCATCCTTACACTGGTTTTTCTTCTGCTTCATCATCCTCCTTTCCTCTGTCAGCTTCCATATATCCATATTGCAAATAATATATTTATTTAAATACTTAAGCATCACTTATGATTATTTTGAATTTGCGAAAACGACATTAAACCATGAAGAGATGTTTGAAGACCAGTGTATTTCTGCATATAGCGTAAAGCTAAGTATATTTTTGGCAAAGACTTGCACAGGGAACATATTGTGTAAGATTATTTTAGGAAGACTTGGTGGAAATTAACAAAGTAACTAAATGAAATAGGTAGGCATCAGCAATAAAAGTTTATTCTTACTGGACAGAGAATTCTACAATCTGGACAAGTGAGTTTTCCATTCACAGTAAGACTTTGTTTTGTTAGACAAGCATTAACTTCACTAAGTTTTCCTGTGACTCCACAAGGAACTGATATACCCCCAGCCATTTCCAGCACTAGACCTCCTTCACTCGGAGAACACCGAAACTGGAGAGAATAATGAAAAAGAAATAAGCAACAGTAGTTAAGGAGGACCTGGTAATATCACTTATGAGAAGTATAATACAAGAAGTAGGCGCAGGAAATACTTTTCACAAGTTACTTCAAATTATAGTAATCACGGGTTCATTACTTGAATCATACCGTATAACAGCCAGCACCTTCCACTGGTGGTACAAATAATGAATCTTCATTTGTTAAATGCCACTTGGAGCTATGTTCTACACATATAGAGTTCATACCAAATCGTTCAAGTTTGAAGTTATTATGCGGGTCTATGGAATTTAAAGATGAATAAGCGATAGTAGGTTAAAAATGTGGTGCTTTACAAATAGCTAAACCAATACGACAAAATATCGGGAGATAGCATACATAACATACACTTAGTCGGAAAAATCTGCTGTCCATATTGGACTTTTGAACAACAGCGAATTATTATTGATAATGAAATCCTACCACATAAGGAGGGCAAACAATACTTTAAGCAATGAACTGTTGGATTTTTGGATAGTTACTATTATTTTTCATTCTACTACACTATTCAACACTGTTCAAACTTGGCACTTGTCTAAATTTACTGAAACTTTATCTTCATTCATAAAATCCTCATGGTGTGAAAACCGTAAGATTTTTGTTAAAAAGGTTTCTAACGGCTATTACTATTTGTTAATGTACCTGTAATTTTTGGTTGTTACAGCAGATCGAATTTTTCGACCTTCGTTGGTATATGGGCTCTTATGCGAATACTTCGAAATTACCTGTATGTTTATTATGGTAATTCACATGGTTGTGGCCGGCATTAAATTTGAAAATAGTAATATCTAATACCCGCTATACAATAGTTGACCCTCGTGCCTTGATGGCCTAGAGAATAACGCCTTGGTTTTCGAAGCGATCGGTAGGAGGCTCTAGTCAGATTGGGAACAATGTCATTGGCTGGGCTGCAGTAACACCTAGCTGACAAGTCCTGGGTGGGATGAAACGCGCGTCCTAGGTCCCTCAGCTATCCGCAACTAAGTAAGCTACTATATCTAATGATTGCTGAATCTGAATACCTAAAGGTTTACAGAATACAGTTGGTAGAACTCATGCTTTTCGAAAGCACCATTCAAAATGAAAAACCATTTCCAGAGTTTGTTTTTAACTACTTACAAGTAGCAAACAAAACTTAGTTAAATTTTCGAATCTAGTGATGCCTTAGTAATCTAGTTTTAGGCTTGCAGGGATTTATTTATTTCAAGACAGTACGTCTAAACAATTCTCCAGTGCTCCCACTTTTTCAATGGTCCTCCAAATGATATCATTCAGTAATGAATACTAGTTTGGCCTAAAAAGTCATCAGTAAAGATTCTGATGTATCTTTATGATTCAGCAGTAGTTAAATTTCACTGAGAAAATAAGGTGTGGAATGTAATTATGAAGGCAAATTGTAATTTCAAATCTTGTTTTTGTGTTCTTATGTTCCAGATTTTTTGTTTTCATACTGAAGAGTGTGTTACGGAAAGTTATATTCAGGAGAAACCATTATTATCGCACTATACCTCAAGTCTAAGTGAAACCACGAGTAAGATTGAGTAAAATTAAGTTGACTAGTTCACTTTTAAGAGACCCGGTCAAAGGAAAATCGGGTTGAGGAAAACTAAGAAGAGTACTTGATGGGCTTTTCCCAGTTTCGGATGTTATATAAACAGACTTTAAGAACTTGAGCAGTGATAAGTAATCCACTTTTGTTACAGGAAATTGAACCCGACTCTATTCCATATTTCATACTTGGTAAGGTAGATCCTTTTGCTCTAACTTAAAGGAATGAGCCAATGACTGATATATGATCTATAATATCAAATAAATCATTGCAAAAATGGCCACTCGAATACGGTTGGTAGGTAGGACTAGATAACACGAAATTTTCCAGTCTCTATTCATCGATCGATTTTTCTAATCCATTTCTACAGGAAGTTAGTCGCTGAGTAAATAACTCATCGTTGACCTTTCTTACTGCAGCAATAAGCAATGTGGGTTCAAATTTTTGAGAAGACAATAGTTCTTTAAAGTTTATAGGTATATCTTGCTGGTGAGTGGCAACAAACAAGAAAGCTAGTTCCAAGGTTCTCGTTAGATTACTGGCAACTATCTAGCAGTCAATAACCCTCAGCAACTTATTGTTAAATTCCATAAGCAAATTAGATTATCTAAACAAACAACAAAGCAGAATGTCACGCTAATTTGGATCATTTCAGGCTACGACTATTTGAGATATTAGATCAAGAAAATTTCAACCAAGAAACATGGCATGACTAAGCTGAAAATAAACAGATTTATGTTCAGATATGTTTATGATTCAAAAAGAGATGAGGAATAAGTGTATTTTCAAGGTTAATATAGATTTTGAGTAGTGTATACCTGTGTGAGTATTACCCGATCCAATAATTGGCTCAAATAAAGCCCGAAAAATTCAAAGTGTAAGTCTAGTAATTCGCATACAAATTAAAATAATACTGACTGCAAATCATTCAGTTAAAATAACTTAGTAACTTGACAGAGTTGATTTACCAACTTCACAAGCTATTTTCCTTGTAAACCAAATTTCCGAGATTGCAGAAGTACACTATATATGGTGTTGGTAATGACAGCAGTTTCTATTCTATCACTTTCAAATTAATTCGCTAAGTGAATGCACTTAAATCTGGAAATATTTTTCAAGAAGTTATTGCATTTTGTGTTCTAATATACGCATAAAATGTTTAAGTCTAGCAAAAATATGAGTATTGGTTTATAAAATGCTTAATACTACTGATCATCAGTGGTTCAGTTGTATATTCCCATCTGTTTTTAAACTCAGTTACTTAGTTTCGTCAAAATCCTTGATGTTATCACGATGCACTTGAGTAAAATTATTTTAACGGAAATTTGACCTAGAATACGATATGTGTAATCAGCTCAACATAATTTCAGAAAGATGGGCTATACATTTCGATAAATTTTTTGTGAAGGATTTTTCACCAATTTTTGAAAAGCGATTTTATATTTCTTTTGATAATCATGATATGTAATAAATAGGTTATAAACAGATGTATAAACAGATTCATAACTAACTAATAACAGTTGGAAAACCACTCAAAACCAGGGAACACTGGACAACTCTTGCTTTCTGGCATGGGACTCCTCAGCATAGCGCACACTTGACTTAGTCAGGAGCAAACCAAGTCGGACTGGAGGACACGCGCTCAGTGACGGTAATGGATGGAGGTCACACAATATATTGAACTGACAGAAGTAGGGTAGTCTGCACCACTGGATCTCGACCCAATGGTTCAGTGGTTAGGTGAACGCCGCGAAACCCGAAGGTCCTGAGCTTGATCACCGGTAGGGTCACGGACAGGCAATGCTTGGGGGTCCCATACTATTTTGATGATGTTGAGTTCACTGGGTTGCATGGTTTATTCGTGGAGCTTTCATTGTCGTTCTGGACATCATCAGTAGAAACTTCAGAAAGAAGCTCAACGATTAAATCAATTGGCTCAGAAAACATAACACCACGATAATTGTCATCCTGCGCTACATATATTCTTTATCATCTTGAATTTGCATACTAGGACAAAGCAACTATGCAGCACTCCTAAGTTTCGATGTTTTTCCAGCTGGTTTCAGTCCGTGATAAGTAGCAACTTGAAATCAATAAATCCCTGCAAACCTCCAAAATTAAGTAAACAGATTCTGATATCAAACAGTATTTCTTCTACAACACTGGATTCCCACCAGTTGATTTCATTTCCCGTTCTGAGTGAAGCACAATAAACAGATAAAACCAACGTTGAACCTCTCACTCAAGTCCATTAGTTCAAGTTGTCACACTTCAAAGAAGCATTAAAAAAAGTTCATCGGAAAATACTGATATCAATATACACAACGGTGTATGGAAGCAGAAATAGTTTAAAAATGAAGGTTAGTGAAAACATCCGAGCACTAGAAGATATTAAAGAGTGTATATGTCCGCACCATTGTGACCGATTTTCAGCCGTTTCGCCAACAGTTCTCAGCCACTGATTTCCATCATCTCAGTGACCCTAGTCAGGTAGTCTACTCTTTTGTACGTAGCTCAGGTCAGCGGTCAGAGAGTTCTTGTACTGATGTAGTTTCTTTGTTTGGCCACCCTGAGCCATCTTCCAACGTAATCCAACTTCCCATGTTCAGGTAGGTGGTGACTAGGTATGCACGTCCATACCCCGTCAATCGACTAAGGTTCACACCGTCGTCTAGGTCTTTAGCCTGCCTGGTTTTCTTGAGTTTGTTGTTTTTGATCTCTAGTTAGGCGTTGGATAGTTACTGAACCAAGACAAATCTTGGACACAATATTAGTCAAACTAATTCCCCAATGGTTTTAACAGAGAGGTTTCTCTCCTTTCTTATGGGCTAGAATTATCAGTGAAGGGACAGCCTCTGATTCCCATACACTACCTAGTACTTCCACCACTCCAATCGGTAATTTCTTACTTCTGTCCTTGAAAAACTCAAGTAGAAAACCGTCAGGTCCAGTTGCTTTGTATCTTTTCAGATATGAAATAACTTTCTGAGCTTTGATGAGAGTTAGTGAACCGACACCTACGTGACATTCAGGTTCAGGCTGAATGTTGGGCAACTCAAGCATTGCTGCAAAACAGGTGAACTATGTTTCAGAGTGTCCCTTGCAACGTTCTAGCGATCCGTCCTGAGAGGTATCGGTGTCCCATCGTTCTCAGTGATGCTGTTGCTAACCATCGTTGTGTTCTTCCCGGTATCCTTAACAAGCCCAAATGGTTACTGAGTGTTACCTAACACTGATGCCTTTCCTATCTCTCTCGCTCTCGCCAACCGCCATTGATCACTCTCATTGCTTGAACTCTTGGTTAGTTTGCGTTAAAGTTATTTCTTGTCATCAATGTGGTCAAAGCCGCCTGAAGCCAGTTTCCTCTCATCTAACATTTCGGATAAAGTTGCGGGAATCCAATGGGATTTATTAACGTTCAGGTGTAGGTTGCCAAGTGTATTTACCGATGTTTCTATAGAGGACTTAATATCATGCCACATATCCTCACAATGAGGATTACTGTAACGTTCAGATAACTGACTACCCATTCTACTCTCGTACGAATTTTATTTTCAAGCGAAATAAGTTGACGTTTTGGAAAACATAGTTTCCTCTCAGTTGTGAAATTTCCAGGTTCGATAAAATAACTCTGTTACAATTTATTAATCAGATGTATCACACAATGGAACAGTATTATTTACTAGATAACGTTTTGGACACAATTTATTGTTGACAGTCTTATAAAAGTAACTCCATAAACTTGAGACATGAGGAAACTACCTTGATATGATTATGGATAATTAACTGTTTCCGAAACGTTATCTAGTAAACGATGCTGCCTCGCTGTGTGATAAATCTGATAAACAAATTATAGTGGAGTTATAATCAGCCATAGTGCTCAATTTTCACTGATACATTGATAAATTAAATATCTCCCATACAAGCAATAGAATTTTGATGAAGTAAGCTTACACGAGTAAAACATTGGCTAAATCTCTCAAGAAACTAGTTTCACAGCTGAACAGCTCAGAACTTCCGCATCGTATAGTTAGTGTTAAATTCAGATATTGTTTGCATAACCATCTGTAATTAATGATAAAACCTCATTCATTTATTATTTTGAGAATTCTCCCATTTAGTTTTAGAGTCTATTCGTCCAATAATATGAGTGAAGGTGATACTTTCCTAATCTTTTGTCTGACTCATAGAGCTTAGTAAAGTCTCCATCACTGAGTTGAAATTTTATTTGCTCGTATATTCAGTATCCGATATATTCTACCAAGCAAAATCGTCTCGTTAGATCTGTTACAGGGTTTTCAGAGATACCTTTAAACCAGAATTTCCATACTTTCCACAGTTAGATGTCCTTCACTGTAGCTGTGAATAATCGTACCTTTGAAATAAAGCAATAGAAGTCATATAAAAATGAAAGATCACAAAACTAAGTTTACCTAGAAGATTAGTTGGTGCATGACAATGAGTGTTAGCCACTGCTTTACCTCCATTATCTTCCCACTCTATTTCCTAAGAGAAAATTTAAAAATATAACTGAGCATCGATTAAACTACACAAAGCTGAAATTAAGACATTATGCAAAGGAAAGACACTGGGTTAAAAGATTATGTAACTATGGGTCGTTTTTTTGTGACCACGTTACTTCTAAAGAATCCGCTAATGTGGTTTCAGTCACTTGATAATGGATCAAAACGCCCTCAGGAAGCATAACAGCATTCCAAACATATTCAATACTTATTTCATTAACCTGTTAAACATTTCATCACTATCCAGTACACTACTTCTTTCCCCCACAATTTTCTTGTTGGTTTTGTACCTTTCTGCTTTTATCAGTATCCTCTTTCCAATATATATATATATATATATATATATATATATATATATATATATATATATATATATATATATATATATATATATATATATATATATATATATATATACAGTTGTGAGAGGCTGAAGTGGTGCATTTGAGTAGAACGTTTTGCTCATTTTCCTGGCATCCTATCTGGAAGGCACATATTAATCTCAGATCAGACACAATATGTACATAATCTAATTTTCTATGCAAAGTTGCCTGTAGTCATAGTTGTACTCGTAAATCTGCAATATGCATAGTGTAAAACAATATCTTAACCGAATGATTAGTATTATTTGGGATATGTCAACCAATTCAACTAAACTTCTGCTTCAAGTAGTCACAGGAATTCACGTATATCTGACCAACAATGCCCATGTAAAAACAGGATACTTACAAAGGATTTAACTGTAAATAGAATTGACGTATAGTGAGTGACAATACTAATAAAAACTGTACAAACATCTGATGTATCATTATTAATCAAAACAACAGGAGATGGATTACAGGATACGACGGCAACCCTTATTCTGTCAGTTGTTCCTTATTACTCACATTAGTCTCTATCTATCCTGTTTGCCACAGCTATCTTAGATTATTTCAATAGTGTTTGTGGTTTAGGTAGTCTTACAAATAACTACAACCTAGGTAAAATTATTGAACAGTGCACTTATCAATAAAGATCACATACTCAAAAGTAGATACTTGGTTTGATGCCAGTCCGCCTTCAGAACAAATCGGATAGCATTAATTACCATTAAACTGTAGAATGCTTAGGAATATTAGAAAGAAGTTTATTGTTCAGTAGATATAAGCAATAGGTGACAGTTATTTTGAAAGCATATTTTAAGATAATAGTTAGAACTTGTTTGTTTTAATGAAAATCCACCTAAGATAAGTGGACAGATACCTTTCAATGTTTTGACTTTATGGTTTTTATACACGTTTTGTACAGAAAAGAACTGTTCAAATTATACATTACTGAATACTTGAGATTCAAAAAGCTGCTAAAAAATAGTCATTAAAACAGGAAGTCATTGTGGTGTTCACCTACTCTGTCAGTAGGTTACTGAAGTACACCAGAAGACAAGATTCTATCCTGTCTTCAATACTATATACAGCACCCAAAACGTCTGCATGAAACTAATATAATATCAAATAGAATAATAGAATAAACAAACCTGGTGGTATGGACAGTAGTTAGCCAAAGCTATTTTGCCACCTATTTTAACCAAAGGATGTTCATTATCAAAGCTACCGGTGCCTAAATTGATCTTATTGTTGGACTGAAACACTGAGAAATTTTTTTCGACAAAATATACATATTTGTTAGGCAGTGGTTTAGAGTATTCAATAAGATTACAAAATCCATAACTTTCTCCATCGGGTGTACAGCTAACTTGTAATCCACTGTTCTTATTTTTTAAACCTGAAGAAATTTGTAATTGTTGACAGAATGGTGAGATTGATTGACCCCTATAAACAAGAAGGACAGTCAACAAGTTAGGAGTAATTATATATATATATATATATATATATATATATATATATATATATATATATATATATATAGTTTCACGCACAACTGATATGAATAAGAATACCTCGGGATACATGAAGTGGAAGGTCAGTAAAGGCATGTACGAAGATGATGAAACTGAATACCTCAAAGTACAATAATGTTTTTTTTTCATGAACAGTGTGGGCTACGTGTTCCAATAATGAAATTCCATCTCAGTTGTTTGTTCTATCTGTATGAATGCATTGGACGAAGACATATCCTTCTTTTATCCTCTAACTTAAGTGGGTCACTTACGCTAACATATTAACAGATTAGCATTTAATTAAAAGGAATGTTGGAGAAATCAGCTTTTAGACGTGAAATGTATGAACTCGAATAAAATCACACAAAGCCAGTTGTAAATTACAATTCGAATTCTCGGAGATAACTGAGATTATATGGGTTGGTGTGAACATATTGCCATAACCAAATATTTGTTTTTAAACAAAGGTAAGGAGTTTTTATAGCTTCCAAGTATAAGTCCATAACATTATATGTTTAATATGCACTTAGTGTCCAAATGACCCAAAATTAGCGGGATGTTTAGTTGATAAAATGGTTCACAATTCTGAGTGCAGTTTGACAACATTGAATTAGAAAAAAGATAATACTGTGATAATAATATTAAAAAGAGAAATCATTTAAAAAAAGTATAAAGTTTCATCATTTACTATCTTGCAAATGAACACAAAAGAAATTCCGTTCCACATTTGATAGTACTTGTTATCAGTTTTATCGTATCACATTTCCTTGAGTGAAGTTGATGATGCTTTATTGTTTATTTAGATTTAATAAACATGTAATTCTTGGTAAGCTGAGTAAAAAGATGAACTTTCTGAGAAAGAACAATCTTACATCCTATACTTCTATAAATTTCAGTAAATTTAAGTTATCAGTCTTCTGTTTTAGATCAATTTGTCATCTCATATTAGCTGTTTTACAAAATAATTTACATAATGTCAATGCAAACAGGTGATGGGATGATAAATTTTAGACTGAACCATCACGTCAACCCTAGTTTAAACAGAATGATACTCATTATCTTACACATGACTACTGAAGTACTTTTTCAGGAAGTCACAGAAAATTGGAAATATGTGTCAGATTTTATTTTCCTGTTTGCTTTTTTATTCGTTTATTCAAAGTAAGGAATGAACAACATAGTTTTCCATCGAAACTTTCAAACCCTTCAAAAAGTTAAAACAATACATGTACATGTTTATGACTTTCATTAGTTCTTCTTCTACATGGAAATCGGCTACAAAACGTCAGGATAATAGTTTCATTATGGTATTTCGGAAGTTAAGATATACAAAAATTTCACTGAAGTGCTTCATAAATAATTTCTACAGGAAAAGTTACATCAGTATAAGGACCGCTTGAAAGTAATTTATTGTACAGATGTTACCATTTAGTTATAACCTACTGAACAGTTTGCACCTCCAATGTTTTTGCTGCTGAGCATGGAAAGTAGCAACATTTGTAAGTAAGCTGTTGCTGTCGGGCAACAAGTTAAAAATCTAATAGTCAGTGCTTTTCAAGTCGATCAATTCGTCGTACAATATAATGATCCCTCAGGTTTTCTAGGTGGTATGTTTTTCCACAACTTACTGACCAGTCTGTGGTCATTATATTCTACTGAGGCTCTATGATTTTCATCTCCAAAGAGACTTGTTGGAAAGCAGTTGACTATCATGCAATCCAATGCACTTAGGATTTAGCGGATCTGAAAAGAGTTACTTTAGATTCATGAAATACTAAAATAATAAAAATATAAAACATCAAAAAAATGGTCATAACATCCAGCTTACCGATTATTTTGCTGTAACATGTATTCTAAACAACTGCCGGTGGCAAAAGTACAACCCTTACCTTTCCCCCAACTGAAAGATTGAGATAATGCGTAGTTCGCTAAGTACCATCTTAGGAGAGAAAAAATGTGTGCATGCTTGTAAAAATAATAGTTTAACCATATTTCAGTTTAACAGTAAAACAATTTAACCTTAAAGTTTGATCGCATGCGACAATAAATCTCTACAGTTATTTACAGTATTGGTTGCATCTCATTACTGCAAAAAATTAAGCAAAGCTGTCCTTGAGAAAAATGGAGTGCAAGAGTTTTCTGTTATTTATTTGTTCAAGTGAAGGATCTTAGCATATCATACAGGTGACAGTGCATTTCTCATGTTCACCTGAATTAAAAATCTTCCAGTGTGTAATGAGGTCAGATTATTCTTGTTGAGAAGAAACATCTAAGGTAGCATTATTTTCAGTCTCGCGTATTCCCCATTTGATGCATAAGTTTTAAAAACTGAGGTGAAATGTCGGTGGAACAAATGATAGAAACCAATCAACCCACCATCACTGAAGTCTGAAAACAATCATTCTAATTATTTGTGCTGCTACTAATGAAGAAACTGTGTATGAAGCCAGTAGAATTGCACATCTCATGTTGGTATACTACAAAGTGGCCTTGGATCTAAAAACGTTATCTTGTAGTGAATATTCCCTAATGTTCGATTACGTTAACTGCCATTTCAGAGGGTAAATATCAGATATGACTACAGTGCAAAATGACCAAGGGGATTCGATCAGCAATTAGAAGTAAACACCATGAAGTTGATACTCTGCAGTCACGAGTTAATTCATCCAGTCCACTCCTACAGATAATCAAGGACTGAATAGATGAGAGGTAAAATTCGTGTTTGCACTAGTGTATGGTGCAGGCTTGAATCTCCGAGAGAAATATAATTTACCTTTAGGTTACAGACACATATCGCTGAAGAGTGTCAACAGGTGTGTAACTCAGGTCCAGCTGTTTCAGACGACTGGCTCCGACCAACTAAAAACAGTGATTTCTATTGAAGCTTCACATTCTTACCACCTTCTTTCAGCTTCATTGTAGAAGTATTTATGGTAGCATTCGTAATTTACCAATAAATGCAACATAACTCGCCACAGCTACTGCATACCAATAATTGGCTTATTAATAGAGAACGAAGTAATCAGATATTTCGCTCAAGTTATTCACTTAGAGAGTTCCATAAAGCTTAATGGTCGTTAGTCAGCGAAATTCCGACACAGCTGTAGGAAGTCTGCACCATATTTTCTATGTGTGATAACAAACGGATGTTCAACAGCGAATAAAAGGTTAGGGATACCACCCAGCAATTCACATTATGTTATCTTCATGTTAAAATATGTAACCACTAATGACAGAAACCTTAGGGCTTGATGTGAACTGAAAAACTTGGCCGAATAAAATTAATGCTAGGTGTACTGTTCAAAAAAATAGTTGTTTAGTCCATGCACTACATATTTGGGATCAGCAGTCTATATCGACTATTAAAAGCCATCTTGAGTAGATTGATGCTGCTAAAATGTCAGTGATGACCAACCCAATACTCAGGATCTTTCCGTAATGTCATTGACAAATACGCTAATCTGTAAAGGGAGAGAAATTTCCTTTTGACGGAATATGCGAAATTCATGCCATCGTTAATGCATGCATGTCAAAAAGTTGTTTGCTTTTTCATCAGTGTACCCATTGTTTGCGTTTTTTCATGTATATATTAATTGGGAAAGAACTGAAGACGTAGGGAACATGGAATTAAAGCTAAAAGTTGTTTGGAAAATGTTACACTGTTTTATCAGTAGCAGCCAAAAGACTCGCAGCTGGTAGTTGGAGTTTAAAGAAGGTAAACTGGCATTGAGAAATTCTGGTAGTCCATATAGTAGACGTGAATTTTATTTTTCACACGTGAATGTGGTACAATGTAACCGCAGGAGAAAATAAAAATAAGTGCAATCTACCTTATGTACCCTTTTGTTTCTGTCGGAGAATAAGTTATTTTAGTATACTAGTGGAATCGTGCTTTCGAACTGCTTTTCATTTACGAATCTTATGATTGTAACTTCCATTCAGTTATCAATATGCGCCGTGCTGAACTCAAGTTACCATGTAGAAGAATATTCTTGAAGGGAAATAAAAAGCATTTATTAAGCAGTATGAGGTTGTGGAAAAACCATAAGTGTTACGAGGTTGTTGTACCTACCCAGTGTCTTCCATCATTGCCAGGGTGATCGGTGAAATACGATATGAATTGGTGAATGTAGCCGTCATAAGATCATTCTGTGGGCAGCAAAATATAAGAAAAATAATAAAATGAATTTGAGCTAGTTATAAGTAACCCGAAAAATCGAATCCAGTGTTTCGGAAATTAGCGTCGTCTCGAAGGTTGCAAATTAAAAATATTTGAAGAGAAAATACACAAATGAGTGGCAACTAAACCATAGACACTTTTCGTCATTTAGCAGTCTTCATATAGATGGGGACTAAACTTCATTTTCATTCCTTACGAATATATTGTAAGATAAAATGTTTATTCATGGGTAAGAACAAGACATATATCAGAGAGGAAATAGAGTAACTTTAAAAGCCCCCTAACAACTGCGAAAATGACCAGTCAGACTTCGGTATTTCACCTGGAAAAGTACTTCTCCATAAAATACAGGAATGTAATTGGCTATGTCATCAGTTGCTACGGTGGCCCTTAAAGTCACTCGAAGAAATATTTCTTTATAATAAAGTCGCTAAGAAGTATTTCTTCGCTGATATATGTCTTGTTTTCACTAATGAATAAATGGGTATCTTTAGTCAGTCAAAATGTTTGTCCTTTTCAGCAGAAGCAGGCAACAGTTTAGAACATCGAAAGAAAGTGATGAAGGAAAAAGCTGCTTAAGTGTCTATATGCATAAAGTATTACGTGATTGGCTAACTCAAGTAAATATTTCATTCTAGGATCATCATTGTAACTCAAGAGAGGAAAAAGTAACTCCACTAACTTTATGGGAAATCAAAGTTATTAACTTCACCTTAAAGGTCTAATATGAAATGAAAATTCACTCTTCTTCCCACAAAAGCTTTATATTTCTGTTCATTAATTCAGTAACAGAACTGAGTTTCATTGGCGAATAAAGCATTTCTAATGCTCCAAGTCGAGGTGCAAAATTTTGTTCTCTATGGTTTATATTTCTTGAATGACTTTATTATTTCTTCTACATTGAAGGCAAGTTATGCAGCATGTTAAAACATACTAGGACTACCAAATACTTGAAACTCACCTGACGTCTGTATGGAGTAAGCCTAACAAACTCTAAAAACAGACAGATTTTTTTATTTCTGTACAGAATGTTTAAAAATGCAAAATACTAGTAAAAATTTAGAAAGATTCTCTCACAGGTGTTCGCAAATTTGACTAGCTTAAAATCGATATTATGTACAGGTTGAAACTTGTCAGCAGTCAAATATTTCCACACTCTAGGACAATTATGCACACATATGAACAGTAAAACATGCTAGGCTAGAATTAATCAGTAATTTAGTGAATTTCAAAGTATAATTTGTAAACTGTGATTATTAAGTATAAGAAGTCAAGTTTATTTGGATTCCCTGAATTTCAAAAACACTTTCTTTCAATATAAGGCGTTTGCAAGGGGTTGATTAAACATCCTAAGTCTAGGTTTAATGCTTGTTCGTAATTACTAGGGCCTTCGTGTAGAATTGTGCACTCCTTAACACTTAAACCATAGAACAATAAAAATGGTGTCTTAAAGCTCAGATACAGAAAACATTTTATCATATTTATTCCTAATCTTAGACTTCTGTGCTATTTCTTACCTCAAGCAAACGTTTCTCCCAGTGAGTTAAAAACACTCCATCTTCATCTTCATCTTCTAGCTCCACACCGTCAAGAGTTGAGCAGTCAAAGAATTTTCGAGCGACGCTCTAAAGGATACAAATTTTTAAATTAATGAAATTGTAGTCTAGTAAACAGGAATCTAAAACCTGTAAAACTTATGAATTGAACTGAAGTAACATATTGAAACCCTGGTAGTACAAAGATAAGGATTATGAATTGTGCACTGATTGGTAGCCGAAGGATAGCCAACTTCATGTTATTTGGTCTTAGGTGCCGATCAGATTCTGTCGATTAGTTTGCAACGAGGCAACCAAGCTAGGAGACTCACCATCATGATGCACTGAGATAGATGTTATTTGTATGAAAGTGCTCGGCAGGAAGACCTGCGTAACTTAAGTTTTGTACTTCTTGGGATTCGTCAGTGGGGTGTTTCTGCAACTTCGACGGGACTGATGTCCCGCCAGAGATTCTAATCCACGTCACCCAGCACTGTAGTCAGAGACGTTATCTTTGAGCTAATTGGGTCGCGACTGGTCTCCTGTGAGTGACTGTCACTAGGCAAAGCGGTTGCGAATCTCAGGCGGGACGTCGGCTCCATTGAGGGTGTAAATACACTCTGCTGACGAGTGCCGAAAAGCATGAAGTCTAGGTCAGACAGAGCTTCCTCCTGACTTTCTCCACCCAAGTAACATTAGACAGTGCATAAATTCCCATACGGAAATATGGATTTTATAACCAAGGTGCTAAACAAAGAGGAGATGTGATCTAGATTAATATACGTTTAATGAGGATAAAATGATGGTTGTAAATATATAAAAATTAATAGCTCAACAACTTTCATTTCAGCTAGAAGTGCTGGTACAATAAATCTCGGCGTCATTATGTAACTAAATATACCAGTCAGATGTAGGATATCGTCTTTTTTATGAAAAATAAGGTATCAGGGAGAAACTGGAAGAAATACCAGACAAATCACATGAAGTCGAAGATCCTTTGTACTGGAAAATTCGGGGACGTGAAACACTTAGGTGTCCAACATCTAAACAACCTACATGAGAAACGGGTGGCTAGAATATCTGGTTTATCAGCTTCAGAGTCAGATTACACAACTTAGTAAAAAGCTAACAACTAGCTGTCGTAAATCACATATTTTTGGTTATGAATAACCGTTTGCGTTATTAAAACTCACTGGTAGGTAGTAAGATGTTTGGATACACTTGTAAAACTACGAAAATATTTACCTTAATTTTAGGTTCCCTAAACGTTATATAACTATTAGCTATATGGAATGCAATAAAAATATGTAGGAAATAAATAAGCTTTAGTATACCTAAAGATTATTCGTATGTGCTCATTTACATTTATTGAATTTCACGGTCAAACTAAGACATTAAATGTGTGATCAGGAGGAAAAGGCCACTTGAGAGATGAGAACAACTTAATCACATATTCACAAAGGATGACAACAAACAGAAATACAATTGAAAAATAATAGTTATCAGCTATGACAACTGGTATTACAGCATTAAAATTATAGTTAGATATACAAAAAATAAAAACAAGAATTTTTTGACAAATACATATATGGTAGTACTGTTTCCGAAAATAAGAATAAATATTTATGACAGGAAAACATTGTCATCTAGTAAAATGGAATTGAACTTCGGAAGAAGTTTTTGAAACATATGTTATGAAACTACTTCCTACCCAACACAAGTAATAAAGATGATAAAATTATTTGATTTCTGTACACAACTAGCGACAATAGTAATTCGGTAAAATATTGACATTTGTAAAAATACAGATGCAAAATTATGAAGTGGAGAAGATTACATCACTAGAAGAGAATAGATTGTTATATGTACAAATAAGTAAACATCTATCATTCACATCCAATAAAGGCAGGGAATAAAATATCCCTGAGCATCTGTCTGAAAACAAGAAGGATGTCCTTAGAGTTACGAAATTTTATAAATTAGAAAACCATCATGAATAAAATAACTTTATATTAAAGTGCAAATAACCGTCGACATAATATTTAATATATTGTAAAATTAATGAAGAATACATATGGTGTTATAACATCTTTTATGGTAGTGAAAGTAAATGGGTTCTTTGATACATGACATTCTCCTTCAAAATGACTATTCCAAAAATTGCCTTACACTTTAGGGTGTCTTGTGTTAGAATTCACCTGACTATGAGACTATGCAGGCAAGGTATGTAGCTGTAGAATGTACTGTTGATATAAAAACTGAGGGTGCTCATAACTTGCTGCTTACCCCATCTTTTGTTAACAGTTATCTTTGAAACAGATTAGTCTTATTGGAGCACTTAATTTTAAACTTGAGTCTTCTGCTACAGTGGATTTAAACTACAAGTCGTTATCTGGAGACGACTTCTATTAGCAAGAGGATCAAAATATGCATGAATAGCCAGGTTATATTAAAACATATGCAGTTAAACGTATCGGTAATTGTTTTAATGAAAATTCGCATTGAAATAATATATTCTAAAGAAAATCTCGTGCAAAACGGATAATGATATCCAAAAGCATCAAAAGCATTTATTGATTTACTTAATTTTGTCATGAAATCTAGTCTGAGAAAGGTGTTTTAAATTTGATTGGTGAATTATGTATGTCGTCGTGACACAATATGACCAATCCTATATATCAATTGGAACCACAGACGCTTTACAAGTGGTTTGATCACATATCGATGACATCGATCAATTAAAACTGTAATAAAGCAATGGTGGTTTATTTTGGATTTAAACCACTGTATAATAAATCCTTCCGATGTGAACAAAAACATGTTAACTTAGGTGAGCTATATGAAGATAGTTAACCTACAAATACAGAATAAAATAAGCAACAGCTAAAGAAAATAAACCAAATTTCATTTGCTAAGTGTAACGACTGTGACAAAGACTACACTAGACAAAATGGTCGACCACAGTGTACTTGTCTAAATGAACACCACTTAGTAATGAAACAGCACGGCAATTCACCACTTTCATCAGTGCGTGTAAACAACTATAGGCATGAGCTCGATTTTGAAAATGCAAAGATTTTGGATGGAGGAAACACAAAAATAGAACAGAACTCCAAGAAGCTTGACTTTCAGGTCAATCAGCACATGTATAGACGTAGACCTATTCTGTAAGCCAACAAGAAAAGTGCGGGACAACCACAGAGTTAGAGGTCAGGTAGAAGAATCAGTAATAAGAAAATCTGTGAATTCAATGACCAACAATCTAAGGAAACCAGCAACCAAATGCCGTCTTACCAGGATAGGCTACTAAATCACTCACTTCATATTGAAGTTAGTCTTGATGATGATTATGATTTACAAAGACAATGGAAAGTTTACGATTTATTCATTCACCTCAGAGAGCGCGGCGATGCCTAAATAATTTGAAGGTAGCTTCCACTACTGAAATTGTATGCTTTGAAAATTTCACTGGATCTCGATCTTCACAGTGCATGCTGAAAGCTATCTTGATCTGGGGCACTAGCATAGTCAAGTGATTGTCTCAACTTTGAAAAAACAGATTTAAAAACCTCATGATAACAAATGATGCAAGATAAACAAAAGGCAAAGGACTAAAGAATTTAAGTTACATTTTCACTAACTAAATGGTAAGTGGTATACGATATTTAAAAGTATCTCATTAACGCATAGTTTCCTCAGCTAACTCTGAAGCTAAAACACAAGACAAACGGTATTTTTTAGAAACTGTGCTCATTACTAAGCATCGAACTTTATAGCAATCAGTGACCAGATAATAATTAATGGACTGTTCTGGTATTTAAATTTGAATTTCACAGTCATACAAAGTGAAATGATAAAGCCTAATGACAAGATATATTTGGTACCACCTGTTGGAAAACAAAAGCCCATATAAGTCTCATTAACAGGGATTTCTTTAAAATTTAGGAATACCTATGTTCGGTATAACAAATGTCTCACACCGTTACCATTTAAAGGTCATAACGATTTAATGAATCGGAAAATTAGGAAGAACAATGAAAAATAGTGAGATATTTTAGGAAATAGTTTCCATATGCTGAGTCATTTAGATTATGAGTTGTAAAATCTTATGTTATAATAATCGGAAAACACCATACCACATTAACGGAGAAAGGTCTCCCAGCTGATAAGTATCAAGAAATTTGTGGCATCATAAACTGTGCAACACAGTGATCGAAATCTTGGAATGAAGCTACAGCTAAAATATTTAGTCAGTATTCGGGTCTAGTAATACAACCATTAAACAACTGAACATGCAGTTCCATATGAGATTTTTTTGTTAGATATATGTCACACAATAACAGAATACTATTTTACGGGAGAAAGAACAACGACTGGAACAGAATAACATGGTGCCATTCTATTTCGCCGGTTTCCTATCAGCTGCTAACAACCTAAATACATTTAAATAGCATATTACTAAAGAATCCGTATATACGTTTTTCAGTTAGATGAAGTTATTTGACAGAGAACAGCATGGTATAACAAGGAATACAAACATCCAGATAAAGTTAACGAAACATGCTATGAACTTTCACTTATGTATCTCAACAAAGGGTTCGAGAAGAGAACATGAATAGTTCTCAAGGATTACATAAGAAGACTAACAAGTCAGCTGTTTTATGAGAAAGAACAGAAAAATTGTGTAATAATAGGATAAGTTGAACTCAGTTGATATAGAGATCATCAAAATTACGTACAAACAGAAAAGAGATTCAGTCAAGAAATGATGTCATCAAATAAGACTAAGGGTGAATATTAGATCACCAGGGCAAAAAAAGACTTATTACTGCTTCTTTTTAGACACACAATTCTGGCTTCAGTTGTTCAGTCTCCACAGCCTCAGCGAACTTGAGAAGGTTTACATTACATTGTTTCTTGATTACCTTGAGGGTATCTACCCGATGTCCTGTATTGATAAAATGTTGAGTGACTGCATTACTGAAAATACTCGTTCCCCTGAGACACAGGCCTTTTGGTACATGCTCAAAGAACCTAAAATATACCCTGCGTTTTCCCGATGTAAATGCTACCACAGATGCTCATAAGTA